TTATTTTTCCTCTTAGTGTCTTTCTTCATCTTCTTCTCCTCCTTTTCATTTTCTTCCTCTGTCCCTCTCATCAATAAGGTCTCTGCGTTAAGGAAACTGCTTCTCTGAGAAGAATTTAACAGTATGCTATTATAATCACATTGTCGTGTTCAGAAGCAGGTGGTATTACCTGTCAACAGGGTTTTGGACATAGCAAATAGCTGCCACCCAACTCAGCTGAGGCTCCCAACCAGATAAAGTGGCCAAAGGACACAGCCCTCTGGAGGCCTCAAAATCTCATTTTCATTCCCCTTGTGGAAAAGAGACTGACTTTATTGACAAAGACGACTGAAAATTGCTTGAGCGTTCCAATAACCAGTTTGCGTTGAAGCAGAGAGACACTCTGGCGGAGGCGAGCTCCCTGCTCCGTCACATAGCTCGTCTGAGCCATGCTTTGCCACAGCACAAGTCTGTGGCATATGCAGACCAGACTGAAAGGAGCCTCCTGATGTCCTCCAAAGCAGCCCCTCTCCACCTCCACTCCCAGCCTGCTGAAGCCTTTCCTGGATCCCAACCATGCATCAACATGAATTCAGGGAATCTCTGCCAGGAACCAAACTATCAGACTGAGTCAGGGGTCTGGGGGTCAGGCCTGGGTTAGCTTGAGGCAAATGTCCTGCTTACCCCTGGCACACTGTGGCCTGACTGCACATGCCAGGTAGGCCACTAGATGTCACCACCATTGATTCCTGTCCTTAACTCCAGGTCCTGGTATAGGACAGAGTCCCAGGGACTATGGGGACTCTATACAGACACAAACAGGAATGCAGGGACTGCTTCAGATGCTATGGCAATCTGAGCTCCTTGGCGAGTCTCTTATAAATCAGTTAGTGGCTAAGCCCCAAAACACCTTTGCTGAAAGTTATGCAAGACAATGTTAGCTAGAGCAAACCCCAGCTCACAATAGGTGGCCCCTGCTCTCTCTCCAATCTTCCTACTCATCTTTGGTGTTGTGCATCCTTCTGGTTTATTCAGATCCTCAATGAGAAATAAATTAATATGTGTGCCTCGTAGCACCAGAGATTTTAGATGTCGACGTGCTGCTGAAATAATGTAGGTCTGTGGCTTTTAGCAGAGAATGAATGACAGATGGATAATTTATGATGATTCTTGAGACCTGAACTATAATTATGAAGAATTTCTAGGTGTATATTCAGGATGCAAAGTGTAAAGAACCTAGAGCTAATGTTAATTTATTACTGACAGCTGTATATATATAATAATATATCATGTCTTTTAATCTTACATTCCTTCTGACTTACATCAAGCAATCTTTTCATTCATTAATAAAATCAAGCCTTGCCATTATTCTTAATGATGAAGTCCTATTTTGAACCCAGAGGACTCCTATAATTAAACTCCATACTTCCATATTCCAGACATCTGAAGCTCAAAAAAAAGATAAATTGAACTTCTTGTTTTACAGGCAGGATGAAAACGTCAGAAAGACAGAGCCCACCTGCTCACAGTCCCATGGGAGCTAAATAGAAAGTCAGGGAAAATGTTTGTGTTTATCTTCTCAGCTCAGATCACCACATCTTTTTTGTCCCCCTTTTAGCCCTTCTGTCTTCTCCCACCCTTCCACAATCTTTCCTTTCTTAAGGCAGTATATTCAAAAAATATTTCTAAAGGTCATGATAAAAATTATAATTAAAAGAAATACAGGCTACTATTTACAATAGCCAAGATATGGAGGGAACCTAAGTGTTCATCAATAGATGAATGGATAAAGAAGATGTGGTACATATACACAATGGAATATTATTCAGCCATAAGAAAGAAACAAATCCTACCATTTGCAACAACATGGACGGAGCTAGAGGGTATTATGCTCAATGAAATAAGTCAGGCAGAGAAAGACAAGTACCAAATGATTTCCCTTATTTGTGGAGTGTAACAACCAGGCAAAACTGAAGGAACAAAACAGCAGCCCACTCAACAGGCTCCAAGAAGGGAATAGTGGTTACCAAAGAGGAAGGGTGGGGGCGGGCAGGTGGGGAGGGAGGGAGAAGGGGATTGAGGAGTATTATGATTAGTACACATGGTGTGGGTGTGGGGGTCATGGGAAGACAGTGTACCACAGAGAAGACAAGTAGTGATTCTGCGGCATCTTACTAACACTGATGGACAGTGACTTCAATGGGGTATGGTGGGGGGACTTGATAATATGGGTGAATGTAGTAACCACAATGTTTTTCATGTGAAACCTTCATAAGAGTGTATATCAGTGATACCATAATTTAAAAAATGGAAAAAATAAAGAAAGAAATACAGGCTATCATGTCTCCTCTAATTTTCTGTGCTGTGCCAAAGACTTACATGATTAATCTCTTCCAAAGAAATCTAACCTAATCTTACTACAACAAAGATAAGGTGTCCTTCATAAGTATCATGGCTGGGAACAAGTCAGTCCTCTCCTCAAGTTTCAACTGTTTCAGTGTCTCATTCAATTTAAAACAATCATTGCCTTGGCAACTGATTCACTGCACTGCCCTTAGTGTCCCCAAAATTGAAACAGTGCTCTGGTTTAAGTTGCCAAGCACATACCATGTATTTATTATCAGACTCCCTGGTCACTTTAGAATATATAGAACCATTGTACTTGTAGAAGCAAAAACTTTAACCTCATCAAGTAACTAATGATCCAAAGTGGAATAATGGGATGTGTGAAGATAAGGATTCAGTGATCTGGGTCATCTCTCATCTGGAGACAGAATCAGATTCCACTGAGCAGGTGTCAGATAACAAAGTAAGCAAGTTTCCTATCTATAACACTAAAGCCAACTATGATCAGTTAATTAAATCATGATAAATAACAATCTGTGGAAAGTGGAAAGTGCTTAGAAGACTTTCAGTGAGATGTCCATAAGTTCACTGAACTACAACTGAATGTTTTTGCATTCCTCTCACTTAAAAATATTTACTGTAATTTTCTGGAGGGCTCTCGTATAACAAAGAGAAATAAACACTAGAGTTTTGCTCCATGGGGTTGTTAAAGTTGCCTAGGTTTTTCTACTGGATTCTGTGTTTTATACCTTCTCTTTTCAGGCCTGAAGGTTCTAATTCTTTCATTAACATTCCCAGCTGCTTAGAATGGTTTCTCCTATTGGTTCTGCATCTTCCAGTTACTTCAGCATTGGGAGGAGGAGTGTCAGTCGGCAGTGGCTCTGCCATGCTGTAGTGAGAGGCAGCTCCAAAACCTCAGTGACTTCCTCACCCTACATATCCACCATAGCTCAGCTGGGGGCTCAGCTCATCACTGACACTCTGAAATGTTGGCCGACAGGATGACCACCACTTCGAACACTGCCAGCAGAAAAGAGTACTCTGGAGGAAACCGCACTGGCAATTAAAGGCAACTTCCACATGCAATTTATTAGGCAAAACCAGCCACAAGCCACCCCTCCAAGCTAAGAGGGCCAGGAAGTTCCAACTGAGCTGGAAGAGTGATGCTGAGCTGTAAGAGGGATACCATAAAAGACTACACGGGAAATCGGATACCATGACACTTACCTTCTTTCACTTATTTTAGAACAGCCTTATTTTCCCTAGATGATAGTTTCTCCACTCACTTTGTTTATGCAGCCTCTCCTGATCTAAAAATTCTCTGATTTTTGTTCTTGCCACTTTCAGATTTATGGACATTACAGTTAAGACATTACTAAAGAAAAGCTTCTCTTCAGATAGTTATAAACAAGGATTGCTTGTATTACTAGCTCAAGGAAAAGAAAACATGCATAGTTTGTTCTTTTTCCCCTTTCATGTATTTGTTTTTCCTTGATTTTTTTGTCCTTCCACTCTTCCATGCTAGTCTTCTGGTCAATCTCTTCTATTGCAAAAAATAACTCAACCCTGCTTTTCCTTCTTCCTATTTGGTCCAGCTGGCAGAGGATTCTGTGGAACAGCAGAATTCTAATTTCACTGGTTTCCCAACCCCCAAATTCAGGTGAATTTGCATCCTGAGGTACAGTAAGAAGAATTACTGGCCTCTCTGAACAGTGACTTGAAGTTTTGCTGACTCTTTCTCCCACGTGATAAATCGAAAGGCCAGCCTGCTGCAATGGCATCTAAGTATATTTGGAAGTCCCCAAGAGCCATCTCAAAGAACAAGTCCAACCCATTACTAGGACTGGAATCTTTCATTTTACTTCTTTCCTAGGGCGCATGGCCCCCCTAAGTCCAGACCCAAGCACCTGCTGTGTAATTCCTAAAATACCAAAATTGTCTGACGTTTTCAATAAAATTGGGTGGAATCCTTTACTCCCTTTGTATTTTACCCTTAGCGGGGGAACCGAAATAGGGCTGCTTATAACCTTGATGTGTATGTCATGACACAGACCCAAATGACAAACACCACGGTGCCCTCAGAGGGCTGAGGCTGTATCACTGGACCAAGCTACGAAGTCTGGATCTACACCCCCTAGGATGAGTGCTTTCCCTGAATAGCCTCAATCTCTCAAGCAAATAAGATTTCCCGGGGCTAGCTCTGCCCCTCACCAGCTGGGCCCCACACCAGAGCTCCCCAAGTTTCATGGCTGGCACACCTGAAATCCAGCCACGAACCCAGCTAAAACGTCTACATGTCAGCCAAGAACCCCACCAAAAGCAGTAACATTCAGAATCACGGGGCTGAAAAGAACGCCAATGACGAGGGGATAGGGTGTAAAGCTAGCGCACAGCAGATTTTGGCGACGCGGAGACTCCAGAGTAAATTTCACATGACTTCTAGACCCAGACAACCTCTGAGAAGACGACGCAGGGGGCTTTGAGGGCCCTACAACCCATGCCCAGACCCCCCAAGGAGCAAGGGACAGAAGTCGGAGTGGGGGAGGGGAGCCCTTCGCGCCCACGCAGTCCCGGCTACGCAGGGGGCCTGTGGGCGGGGCTTGAACATCGCCCGCCCCCGCCCGCCACTCGGGTCACCTGACCTGCCCGCGGCTCACGTGATCCATCTCCAACGCCGCCATTTTGGAGCTCCGGATGAGGAGAGGAAAAGTGGGGGAAAAGAGGGAAAAGAGCCTGGGGTGGGCAAGAACAAGGGCGAGGGCACGGCCGGGCTCCTGGCCGGCCAAAGGAGGCTCGCGGAAGCAGCAGCCGCCGCCCGACCGCAGGTACCGCGCCCCGAGGCCGCCCCTCCGCCCCCTGTTAGCGCGCCGCCGGCCATGTGCGCCCTCCCCTCAGGCCTCTACCGGTGCCCGCTTCCTCCTCAGCCGGCCAACACCCGCCCGGTGCTTGCCACGAGCCCCAAGTTCCGTGTCCCCTTCAAGTTCTTTGCACCGTCCCCAAGCAAGGCCAGCGGAGCTCCGGGCTTACCCTGCAGCCGGGGTGGGGGAAACCTGCGGCTCCCCGCATACTGTCACCCGCCTGGTCCGCAGGCAGGCCCTCCGAGGCGTTGCTTCCTTCCTCTCTACAGAGGTGACGCCGCTTAGGCCAGCCCGGGATGGTGTCCTCATCTCTTGATTACCTTTCTCATCCCCTGTCGTCCCAAGCCCTTTAGTCACGGCTTGGCGTAGGAGAAAAAGCTAGTACAGCAAAGAAATCCTAGCCTTCTGCACCTGGATGAACCTCTTCGATGAAATGGTCTCCCCAAAAATCAGAGATCAGCAGTGAAAGCCCCCATTCTTTTAATACCTGCGGGCACCGGAGTGAATGCTTTGTGTGGAAGGCCTGGATGATTAATTAGGCGGAGGCCATCGTCCCAACCCATAGGCGATCTTTTCAGTTACTGCAGTGGGCTGTAATTTGCCATCAGTCTGCATCTCTTATATCGGGCAATTACTGGATATATCATCTCCCTGAGTTTGTACTTTCTTAAGTACTGCGCTCTGACTCAGTGTATGGGCTACGTTATTGATTAAAAGAGAAAGCCCTTCATTTCTTTACCTCTCTAACTCGTTTAACATTAACTTAAGGGGAGAGCCAAATACGTGCTTTCTGCCCTGGCAGTGAACTATTTCCTTAACCGTAATCGATAAAATACCTGCATTCTAGGTAAGAGGAATAGGCATTCTTTGATATTGTATATTCTTCTTTGCTAGTATAAGAAAGTAGCAAAAAAATGCGGAAGTAGGGCAGGAAACTGCATTAGAAGGTATATAAGGGCAATCCTCTGTGTCCTATCCTTTTCATGCTGCTATTCAGCCCACTATGCTTATAGAATTGTTTGAAGTTTGTAGAATCATCCTTTAGATTGTATTTTTTATTAAGATTAAAGTATCAATACACAATTTATTCCTTCACTAAAAAATGATATCAGTAAAACCAACAGTATTCTGAATCAATTAGAGTCTGAGCTAAAACAAAATAAGCAATTATTGGGAGAAGTTTCCAGAGCTATTCCTTTCCAACTGCAGAATCTTAAAGTCTACTGGTTAAATTATATAAATTTGTACCACATAAGTGGGTTGCATAAACATTCCTCTCAACTTCTTTTTAACATAGAATATTGGAAACTTTTTCACTGCCAAGAGAAATCATTACTTTGCTTCACCAAGAAAGAGAAGTGTTTGATACTATATACTTTCATTCTTGGCCACAGCTGGATTTGAAGATTGATCCAGGGGACTGTGTTAATTTCAGGAATTGATTTGAAAGACACTGGCTCTGCCACTTAACAGCCATGTAACCTTGGGTAAGTCACTTAAACACTGAGTGTTTCCTTTATTTGTAAAATTGTGCAACACCCACCGAGCTAGTGGGTTAGGAGCATCAAACACATTAAAGTGTTTGGTACAGTCTAGCTTTAAGGGGCTATTATTTTTTTTCCAATATTGATACTTGAAGTAAGAGGAAAATTGGTATATTGAGAAAGGATGGTTTTAGAATAAGTTTGGCCTGAATTCCAATTAATAAACCAGTTACTACTTTACATCTGTAACCAGATTACTCATCTGCAAAAGAGGCCAGTATTACCAAGAGTTACTTCAGTGATATGCAAAATCTGCCATTCATTATGAGCACCTCAAGGACAAAGATTTCCTCTTACTTATTTTAATAATCTCCAGGACCAAGCATAGCACATTATAGGTGCTCAGTAAATGTTAAATCTTAATACTGGGTAATGTTAGACTTGATGTCTTCTTTGCAGCTGCCAAATTAGAATACTCTGTCAGGCTTGATGCCAGATAAGAAATTTTAAACTATGAAATTCATATCATTGTGATACCTACACTTAGTTTTTTCTTAGTGGCAATTAATAATTACATTAAGCTAAGGTGATTTTAATTCAAATAAACTATAGCTGATATTAAGTAATTCTATAAATAATGTGAAAGCAGTCGAGGTAATTTTTAAAGACAGTTCAGGGCATGAAAGTTCATCCAGTATGACTCTATAGTTTTACATCTGAGGAATCTGAAACCCACAGAAAGAGTGACTTGCCTAAGGTCACACTGCTAACTCAGGGCACTCTAGGAGAGAAACCCATGAGCTTATGTCCCCTACTTTCTTTTGGCTAGAGCAAAATAAATGTATATTTTAGAATTACGATAAACTAGAAGAATGGGGACTTGACCGTTCATACAATTTTTTTTTTCTAGTTGGAACAGACAAATTATTAGTGTGAAAGAAAAGGTTCCTTATAACTGAACTATTTCCATACATACACAGAAAATTATAGCTTTTCTCTAGGCCACATGAATCATTAAGTGTAAGCTTTTGCCGGTAGAATACAGGTATCCCCTGCATTTTGAAAGTTTGCATTCCACCGCTTTTTTATCAAAGACCTACATTAGTAGCTATTTTCACTAACCAAAGGAAATCAAAAGAGAGTTTTTGCTTTTACCAAAAAAATGAAAAATGAAAATAGTGTTCAGCATTGGTTTTGCAGCAAGGAGTCCATCATAGAGGCAGTGCACACCCTGGGCAACAAGAGTGGCAGTCAAGCTCCCTCCCTGAGAACCACACAGCATCTCAGCATCAGCAGCCATAGCTTTGAACTGTGTCTGTGAGCATCTGTGCTTTGTATCCATTTTTTTGTGTCTGTTAATAAGATGTGCCCTAAGGTATCAGAAAAGCCTAAGCGGTTATATTTTGCCCTGGGAACACTCAAAAAATTTTACGTGTAAATTAATGGTAATTGCTTCTTCACTTTAGGCCGTTTCAGTTTAGGAAACGTTTCACAGAAGGGCTTCTTCCTAGGAAGTACTTTCAGCTAGTAGGGGAAACCTGTACTGTTGTTCAGGAAAGATGTGAGACTCAGTCGAAAAGACTGTAGAACTTTTCAGGTTTGGGATAAGCTGTTACTTATTTGTAACAATTTGATATGTTTTGCCTCATGTTGTGAAATCTAAAGATTCCAGATTCCTGTTTGGCTGATGTCTTTCCTCCTAGTAAACCTTCCTATTCAGCCATACTGATCTTTTCACTGACTTCTAAATAGCATGCGTAGTCTCACTTTGGGAGATATAATAGTGTTGAAGGCTGCTTTCCTTGTTAGTCTTACCCTTGGGTCAACAGAATTCCAAAAACAGCAAATGGCACACTCTAATTAGGATAATTCAAGGAGGATGTTTTTAAAAAGATACTCATAATAAAGGTGTAGGACCTGTATAGACAAACCGCAGGGATAATGTTGTATGGAGATAGCACCAGGAGGGGGAGAGATACCAGAACCAGGAGAGCCTTATGGAGCAGCCTGCCTAGAGAGAATGGCCTTCTTTTGACAAACATGGCCAATTCAAGGTGACCTAGATGGAGGGAACCAGGGAAATGAATATCCTGATCTCACTGCTGTCTCCCTCTGATCTCCTGTCATGGTTCCCCATTGGCATAACTCAACCAGAAACTGGAGGGCATGGGAGCTTAATAGGGTAATCCCTCCTGGGGTAGAGAGTAGAGTGGAGAAGAGATGGTGAGACTAACAGAGCAAATGGATGACATCTGGCACACCCATCTTTTGGAATACAGTGTATGTCCTAACTCTTCAACAAGCCTTTATTTAGCCTTTGTAGTCCAAAATGAGCTCTTAAGTCCCTTTGAGGGTTTGGTCATTGACTGTTGCCTACAGACTATTTTACCTGGTATACTGTTGAATCATTTAAAAGCTGTTAATCTTTTTAACTTCTAAACATGTGTGTCTTATACACTGAACTCAGTTTTAAACCATGAGTATTGTTAATTTAAAATTTTTCCATTGTTTCTGGTAATTTGCTATGTGCCTTGCATATAACAATTGTTTCTGTTACTATTTGGAGAACTTTTAAACAGTTACACAAGTAGAAGGAATAGTATAGTAAATTTATAAGTGCCCATCACTCAACATCAGTTAACAAAATTTGCTTTTCTTACTTTATCCCCACCCTGTCTACCCCCACAACCATGGTAATTTCTTTAAAGTTGCATTTACATTGATCTCTTCGAGGCTATGGATAATAGGCAGATTATCATAATCCATGTTGTCATCATTCTTGAGCCACTGGGATTGTATTTGTACCCCTTATTTTCATCTCTTTTATTATTCAAATAAATTTTACTTCACTTGACATGCAATCCCATTTATATGCACATTGGTGGCCTAATGAAGTTTTTGTGAAAATTTAAAGAGCCAGCTTTAAGGTCAACTTCCTCTCTGTCTATACTTTATTATGAGCTGTTTATCTAACCTTTTTCAACAGAGACTTTTGTTTTAATGAGATTTAACTTGTGCATTGATTTTGCCATGTGGACCCAAACTGGTTTTTCAGGTGTTTCTTGATGTGTATTTTATGTTGTCATATCTGTTTTATAGCTGCCATTTCTGTACTTATCCCCAAATGTATGCAGCCTCTAAAATGAGATACTTACATAAATGTTCAGGGAAAATTGGAGCATCTGCTGCAAATTTCCATTAGCTCTTAATGCCTGAGCAGACACAGCTTTAAAAATCTGAATGTTTTGTCAGATTCTTTTGTATTAGTCTTCCTTGAGATAAGATGAACTCCTCTTCTTCATTTTACTTTCTTTGTAAGGTACACACTGAAATATCCACAAGGACTAATTTTCACTGCTCTGTCTCTCTCTTATATCTCTAAGTAGAAGAGGATAACGTGAGTCACCTGTGTACCCTGTGGGTGTACAAAGCCTGTTGAGCAAATATTCACTTGTTAACCTCCACATTATCAATCAGCCTACATTGATGTCACATTTCATGGGAAAGGAGAACTTAGAGCCACAGAACACCAAATCTTGTGCCAGAAATTGAATTTACAGGGATTGTTATTATTAACTACTATTTGACTAATTTCATGTAACAATTGAACTGAAAGAAATAAAGCCTAATGAGAATGACCCTAAAGGGAAATCAGTAGTCACATGAAGAGCCACAGCTCCCCTTGGCCTAAACATTTGGAATTCTCAGGCAGTAAGATGACTTAAGAAGTTGTAGAGGATTTTTCTAAAGAAATAAATTTTGCCCCCCACTGTTCCTCTCTTTAGTGATTCAAAGTTGAGTCTAGAGATTTTTTAACACTTCCTGTTCTTCCTACATGTGAAAGATGTAAAGGAACTAGTCTTTTGAGAGAGAATGCCCTCAAGTTTTTAGGGAGAGAGTGGCTAAAGGACCACTGGCCTTAGGGAGCTGGGAGAGCTGTTGTGATGACTATGGAATGCCTGCCCCACCATGAGTGCAGTTAGAAGTGGAAAAGCGAGAAAAGCTGATGATTAGAAAGAAGGGAAGATGTACTAAAGAAGCTGAGAGTAAAATGCTTGCATTTTTGCCTGATGTGGACCTAGATACAGAAAATTACATGCCAGACAGAGTAGAAAATAAGAGAGGACAAGCCATAACTGCTGCCAAGTGTTGATATGGGAGAAGTGGCTCTGAAGCTGGTCAGAGCACTGGTGGGGTCTGGCAGGAATTGAGGTTTGATCATGGCAAGAGCTAAAGGGCTCTTAAACTCTTATATGTTGAGCCATGATATGTGAGTCGTGATTCACCTCCAAAAATAAGAATTTATTTTAGAGAGCCTGTGCCTGAGGTTTCAGAATAGTACAGTTTATGGTCTCTAGCTAGTGCCACTAAAAATTTCGCTGGCATTTATTGAATGTTGTGAGTAAGATTCCAGAATGCACCTAAAATGTGGAAAAACAAAACTTGTTGCTGGAGAAAAGCCTAACCTTAGAAATGTGATCCAAGTCAACAAGTTAATCTCACTTTAAGCCAAAGGAAATGTTTGAAATGAAAGAACTGCCAGGAAATAAGAGTATTCTAGTTTTAGGCTGAAAGATATTTCATGAGTATTTTTTATTTAGTGATTTCCTTGCCTAAAACACATTACTAGACCCTACAGATAACCCCTACTAAGAACCTGTGCATATTTGGATCTGAAATACAACTGGAAAGTCAACTTTTTCCCTCTATAATGCCCCTTTCCCTTTCAGGAAAAAAAAAATGTTTATGTATATATGCGTGCCTATGAGTACTCACTGACCACTAATATGACCTCTAGAAAAAAACCACAGCAGTTTGTGGTTTATATTCAGGAAGATAAATCAGAGGAACTGAAAGAAGGAACTGGATCAATGCTTTTATTTAGTTTCATTTGCATAGTACTTCTCAAAATTCACTATGCCCTTTACAATAGATTACATTATTTATTTTCACAATTCCAAAGATTTGGGGAGAAACAAAATTTATGATTTTAATAATAAAACTATAAGTATATTTGTTGTAAGATGTTGTCTCCCAAGAATTGTATCAATCATGTTTTGGCTTTAAAGAATGGTGTTTCATAGTAACTTGAGGTGGTTCTATATCCTGGGAATGTCTGTGTTCCTCAGTCAAGGAATAGGAGTCTTGTCGTTTTTCTTTTTTCTTTTTTTGCCATTGTGCAAAAGGCAGGGAGTACTGCTTGGATCCATCCATGTAGATGTCTAGGGGAAAGGAAGTGAAGAAAAAAGGTGATGCAGATTGTTAAAAGTCATTTCCAAAGAAAGCTGAAAAAGTCTTCATCATCAATCTTGATAGGAAATACCATTCCAAAGAGAAATTCTAAACAACTTAACTCTGATCAGGGATAGCCAGGAATATTGACATTTCTCCTAAGTTAGAAAATACTAGATTAGCTTCAACTCTAAGATTATGTAGACTTCCTGAAACACATGCCTGGAATTAGACTGTAACCTGTTACTTATTTCTGTTGTGTATTATCCTTTTCAGATATGGAAGAAAGCAACAGTGTTGTCATGTTGGTGCCAGATATTAGGGAACAGGAAGCTATACTAACTGCTGAAACTGTCATCAGTTCATCTTTGGAAAATGATGAACAAAGAAAAGCTAAAACAGATCCATTAATCCATGTTATCCAGAAATTAAGCAAAATAGTGGAAAATGAAAAGTCACAAAAGTGTCTTTTAATCGGGAGAAAACGTTCACGTTCAAGTGCTACAGTGCACACTCATGAAACTCAAGAACTTTGTGAGATTCCAGCTAAAGTAACCCCGACGCCTGCTGTTGATATTAGAAGAGCTGACATGTCACAAATGCATTTTACTCCTGACTCTCTTGCGCAGAATGATGGGAAGGCTATGTCTTACCAGTGTAGCCTTTGTAAGTTTCTGTCATCATCTTTTTCTGTGTTAAAAGATCATATCAAGCAGCATGGTCAGCAGAATGAAGTGATACTAATGTGCTCAGAGTGCCATATTACATCTAAAAGCCAAGAGGAACTTGAAGCTCATGTGGTAAATGACCACGAAAATGATGCCAACAGTCACACACAGTCCAAAGCCCAACAGTGTGTAAGCCCCTCCAACTCTTTGTGTCAGGGAACCACAGAAAGAAACAGTGAAACCATTCCTGACATCCCAGTAAGTATGGACAGTCCCCAAACTCAAAGTGTCCCCACTGCATCGATGGTGGAAATGGGTAGGAGGAAATGGTATGCCTATGAACAGTATGGCATGTATCGGTGCTTATTCTGTAGTTATACTTGTGGCCAGCAGAGAATGTTGAAAACACATGCTTGGAAACATGCTGGGGAAGTTGATTGCTCCTATCCAATCTTTGAAAATGAAAATGAGCCCTTAGGCTTGCTGGATTCTTCAGTGGCTGCAGCACCCAGTGCGGTTGGTGCAGTAGTCATTGCTATTGGAGACAGTGAACTGAGTATCCACAACGGGCCTTCAGTACAGGTGCAGATTTGCAGCTCAGAACAATTGTCATCTTCATCTCCTTTAGAACAGCCCATGGAAGGAGGTGTTCACGTAAGTCAGTCAGTTACCCTTGACTCTAATGAGGAAGAAATGCTAGAGGTGATTTCTGACATGGAGGAAAATCTGATTGCTGATAGCCTACTTTCCTCAGCACAGAAAATCATTAGCAGTAGCCCAAATAAAAAAGGTCATGTTAATGTGATAGTGGAGCGTTTGCCAAGTGCTGAAGAAACTCTTTCACAGAAACATTTCCTCATGAGTGCTGAAATTGAAGAGGGGAAGAACCTGAGCTCTGCAGAAGCCCAGATGGAATGTGAAGGGAGAGATGAAGTTTATCATGCTGACAAGTGTGCTGTTGATATTGGGGGACTGATCATAGGCTGGAGCAATCCAGAGAAGAAAGAGAGTGAGTTAATAAATAAAGGACTGGCTACTGATGAGAACGCACCACCAGGCCGAAGAAGGACAAATTCTGAGTCTCTTAGACTACACTCATTAGCTGCAGAAGCCCTGGTCACAATGCCTATAAGAGCAGCGGAACTAACAAGAGCCAACCTTGGGCACTATGGAAATATAAACCTTTTAGCCCCAGATACTGGACAAAGGCAAGTAGATAGTACATTAGCAGCATACTCTAAAATGATGTCACCACTTAAAAACTCCTCAGATGGATTAACTAGTTTTAACCAAAGCAACTCTACCTTGGTAGCACTCCCAGAGGCGAGGCAAGAATTGTCAGATGGGCAAGTTAAGACAGGCATCAGCATGTCCTTACTCACTGTAATTGAAAAATTGAGGGAAAGGACAGACCAAAATGCTTCAGATGATGACATTTTGAAAGAGTTGCAGGATAATGCCCAGTACCAACCCAACAGCGATACAAGTTTGTCAGGAAGCAGTGTAGTAGAATACATCCCCAACACTGATCGGCCCTACCGCTGCCGCTTGTGTCACTATGCCAGTGGTAACAAAGGCTACATCAAGCAGCACCTGCGAGTCCATCGACAGAGACAGCCATATCAGTGTCCTATCTGCGAGCACATAGCTGACAACAGCAAAGATTTGGAGAACCACATGATCAACCACTGTAAAACCAGACTATACCAGTGCAAGCAGTGTGAGGAGTCTTTTCATTATAAGGTAAGCACTGGTTCAGAAAATCGTTCTGAGGACCTTAGAGTTTTAGAGCAAGGAGGGAACTTTGTAGATACAGTCCAACCACCTTGTATTACAGATAGGAAACTGAGGCTCAGAAAATTTCCGTAATTTCTCAGGGGGGAATACCAACTGGTTAGTGTTAAAGTTGGGACTGAAATCTAGGTCATCGAAATTTCCCATGTAGTACTTTGCCCTTCCTGCCACCTCCTTAATAGTCTCTTTGTTTATTGTTTTAGTGGTCTAGTTATGTATGTCTTTTTTAAAATGCATTGATTTTACAACGCAAGGTAATTACAAGGGTGTGTACAGTGGAGGGATATTATACACATTTGACTTACACAAATCAATCCTATATGATAAATGCAAAATAATATTTTTCACCTTATGTAGCCCCAAAATGCAGGTCATTCACTTCAGCTGCTACATGACCAACCAGTGATTTGGGCCATATTGGATTTAATGAAAGACAGTGCAGTGGAAATAGAGTTATGTATGCTATGTTTTATGGGAGGTTTAAAGGACTTTCAAGAATTTGTATGACTTTTTTTTCCTCATGTACTACCTTAAAACCAACAACCAGCATAAAATACTACTTTTGTAAAGGAAACTTGCATTCTTTGAATCATTGGTTTATAACTTTTTCTTTATTGTACCAGTTGACTGAACAAAAAATCCCAAAGGGCTACCTGGGATGTATACTTTTTCGCTCATACTATCTAGAGTTGGGGTATAGATGGTAGTAAAATTGTAATCAGGAATCTTAACAGCCTTTGAGTCTGAGATTTCTCACCCAGTTGGATTGCCCTCATGAAATTCTGAGATGCCCTCTGGCTGCTGGACAAGAAATAACATCCAGTTGGGCTGCAAAAGTAAATTCCAGAAGTTTCCAGGAGTTTCTTTTGCTACTGTACTCTTGATTTGTGGAAATGGAGGTGGAGGTGGAAAATATCCTTGGAAGAGCATCTTCCCATCAAGTCTCCCTTACACATTTAGTTGACATTTAAAGGCAAAAATTAGCAGTAGTGTAGCAGTTACTGATTGGACTTATTTTTATGAGAGTGTTGAGTTATTCTGAAGACACTACTCTTCTCTCCATTCCTCTGGGCCTGCCAGTGGTCCAGTAAGTATGTACATGCCATACCTAAAGACCTCCTAAGACATCAGGGTCTTCCTTGCAGAAAATGTGGAAAGAAGAATTGCCTTTTTGAGGAGATTGTGATTTCCATAGTGTATTTCTTTACATAAATTGTCAAATGTATCAAATAATCTTTTCAGTACATATGATTTTAAGATACTAATAATGTGTTCTAGGCCATGAAAGCAATTAACTCCTTCTTCTATAGCCTTTTTGTAATTGTGCAAGTATATTTATTGTAACTGCATATTAATTTCTCTCAATTTTTTAGAGTCAGCTGAGGAACCATGAGAGAGAGCAACACAGTCTTCTAGATACTTTGTCAGTAGCAACGTCTAATGAGTCAAGAATTTACACTGATACAACTGATGGCAAATGTGTTCAGGAAGGTATTTGTACATTTTTTAATACAGGCTGCACTGACTAGCATATGAAGTAAAAAAAAATGCCCTTTGTTGTCATGTGGGTTATTTTCAGGACAAAGCTGTATATATTCTCTATTTTTATACTATGGATATGTGTGAATCTTATCTCTTTTCCTGAGGAAATTTCAAGTACTAAATGAAGAACTTTATTAGTAAGTACACAGCTTCAGCCATGCAGGTGTATACTATGTCGTTATTTATGCTGTCCTGTAAGAACCACATAGAGCATAAACTTGTAGGTGACATTTCAGCAAACCAGGGAAGCTGCACTGCAGAACAAGCCTCCCCTCCCTCTCTGTACAGTTGACCCACTGAGAACCACTTTTGCAGATGGTGGGCCCCCACCTCAAACTTTAACTGAGGCTTCCTGCTGTGATCTTATTCTTATCCAAGTATGACTGCCAGATTTCATCTGTGTTATTTGAAAAAAAATAAAAAAAAAAAACCCACATCTTCTTATGTACTAGTTAGGTACCAGTCGGCCGAGTTCTTGCTAATAGGAATATTAGAATCAAAAGATTTAATTAGAGTTCCATGAAAAGGCATATGCCACATCCGGAGAATTAGGGAGAAAACATAATAAGCTGTGTTTCCTTGGATCAGCTCACTTAAATTCATATACTTTAAATGTCTCAACTGTGGTACATAGTGTTTATGGGAAATAAAACATATTGGGGTGACTTTCCTTTTTAGATTTCCTAAGAATTAAAGTTAGAAACAACTGCAGAGTAAAATGTTTTACCATAATGTTTCATTAAATTATACCCCAGAAAGCATAACTGATTCTAGAATGTTTCTGAAAGAACTGATTTTGACACCACTGTAGCACCAAAATTCCCTTGTCAAACAGATGTCATCCCTGTAAAACTATCCAAAACAAAAGGAGTTTATGACATAGCATCTGTTTCTGCGATAGATGGCTGAGCTAAAACAGTTTTGTTTCCTTTTTACTAAATAGCCCTAAATGCCTCCTTTTATTTTAATCCACTGTGTTTCCATATCCCCTTTAACGGAGACATTAAAACATTTGATATCATTGGACCGTAAATCCCTAATGAAGAATAAAGTAAGTACTACTCAGTGGCACCACCTGTGGTTAATGCCAGTGGTAGAATGTCTTTTCTAGCACCATCTTCAACAGCAGTAATTTAAAACTGTCCAAATGGGTTAACAAATATAAACTCACAATTTTAATAAAAAAGATTAAAATGTCAGCTCAAAATTAAAACAGCCAGTTCAAGCTTTACAGTGTTAGCATCTGTCTTCCATATTCCATTTTGCAGCATCTCTTCTTTGTTGATCATACTGTTTCTGGGAGTGAAATGTATGGATTTTCAGTGGCTTGCCATGCTTATTTTTCCCCTACCTCACTCCATTTGCTTTTCTCTGTCTTTACTAGTGTAGCAATTCACACAACTGGTAACCTCCTACATACTTACACCTATTCTGATACTTAACATTAATTAAATGTTAGATCTGTCAAAAGTGTCCGAATATAAAGCAGTCAATTTTGGCCTGGTTGTCAGACCAAAGAACAAGTTTTTAGCTCACAAAGAGGAAGAATAATTCATGTTTTATTAAAAGCTTTTTAACCACTTAGTAAACTTACTGAGCAAGTTGGGAGATGTGTGCCTCTGTGGTCCCCAACCTCAGGCACTTACAATAGCACAGATAACTTCAGAGCATGTTTTTCACTTAGATGTCCTATGTAATGGTGCCTCGGACATTCGTCTGCCAAATGGCATAGAGTGTCCCTCTTGTGCTGGCTACCATGCTTATATGCTGGGGATACAATGAAGGCATCACTGCCTTTGAGGAACCCAGCGCAGGAGGAAGACAGAATCTTACTGATGGGCATGTCAGCAGACACCACAGGTGCTTTAATAGAGCTATGGGCAAAGCACTTTCAAACGGTTTGTTCATGACATTGAATCAAATTGTTATTTATTGCAAACCTATAATTTGCCAATCCCTGGGGATTCAGTGTAAACAAAACAGGTAAATCCCTGCCCTCAGCAAGTCTGCACTACCAACAGGTCAAGAGACCTCACGCAAACGTGCAGGTAACATATAGACTGCAGTGAAGGAAAAATACAGAATGCTCCTGAGCTTACTAAACCATGATAGGAGGTTCTAGTATTTTCATTTTGTAGATGAGAACCTCAAGAGATAAAATAATTTGTGATGATGCTGGTACTAAGTGGCAGAGCAAGGATTAAGCCCAAATTTTTGAACTTTAAATCTAACATTCTTTCCATTAGAAACAGTTGCTTGAAGTAGCACAGGCTCTCGTTCTGTGCTATATTAAGTTTTCCATCTGTCATTTTTATTAGTTGTCATTGATCTGTAATATTTCTCACACAAAACCATTATCCAATATTTCACACTTCATTTTTTTCTGGGTTTTCTAAAAAACTGTATTTGGAACAGTGCCACTAAGAATCAAGTCCCAAGTTTTTAACCTACCAATTAAGAGCAATACTTAGATTTTAATTATGATTAGTGTGTATATTAATGTTATAGATTTATACCAGGAAATTAGGACATTTTATTCTGCCTGGCAAAAGCAGCTATTAGCAAAAGAAAATACCAATTTTAGAAAGCTTAAATTTAACTTAAGGATTTTCTTTGTTTTGTCAAAATTTCAGTGTAGGTTTTTTATTTTTCATCAATTTTTATTTTTTTATTTTTGCTCTTAAACACTGTGTACTAACTAGTGTTCCACCTAAGCTTTCTTACTACTATGGTTTATTCTTCAGCTTACATGCTTACTTTGTTTCTGAATGTAAAGCTGTCAGGCTGTGAATGGCCTGTGGCCTTTATGCTGACATAAGAGTAAAGTGTTAAGTAGCTTCAAGAACAGTTTCATAAGTTCATCTTATTATCTCAAGCTTACCCTGATTTGAACTACCCAGCCCTGTTATTGCAGAATGAATTTAGTAACATGGCCTATTTCCACTGGATCCATGTTTCCTGGATTTCAGAGAGCTGCGTAGTCATGTTAGTCAGAGGATTTGTCCCTGTAACCTGTCAGTTTACTAGATATAATTATACTATATTATATAGCACTTAATAATTTACAGTTGCTTTTCCTTCTTCCATTATTGCATTGATAGGTGACATTTATTTATAAACAAAGGGAACCCATGGGGTGAAAAAGCTTTAGGCTTCTTATATTGAGTTTGTTATATATGCTTTATAGCCATACTTTATAATATTGGATTATAATATTAAATTACAGCTTGTTACAGATCAGTATTTCCTTAAGACCATATATATAATTTTGATTAGCCTAACACCTTTCAAATTAAAAATGTATCTCTGGTTAATTCAGCTGCTACATAGTCAGCAGGGCATCTGGCATCAAGTTCGTTATATTTTAGAATTTTGTGCAAGGTTATGCAGAAACCAACCCCAGTGTATCTATATTTAGATGTTCATTTTGTGTCTTCTGATAGTCCAGATGCAGAACATGTAAAGCCACATTCAAACTTGTTAACTTTATTAAACAGTGAGAAAGCCTTGATTGAATTGTTAATATTGTGTGGTATAAATATTCATATACTATGGAATGTAAGTGCTGCCATTTGAATCTAATCAAAGCATGTCGCTAAAACTCTGAAATACTTTGTCTAGGAAATAAATCTTCAGTCCAGAAACAGTATAGATGTGATGTGTGTGATTATACAAGTACAACATATGTTGGTGTCAGAAACCACAGACGAATCCATAACTCAGATAAGCCGTACAGGTAAGTGTGATGATCCGAGAGTTGTAATGCTTGCATTAAATTATTTTATAGTAAAGAAAAAGCAGCAATAATTAAAAATTCATAATACTTGCTTAAACAGGTTAAGCGCTAAGAAATTTTGACTCACTGGTTTCAAAGTGTTGTTTAGTTTGTTAAGGAATATGACCTTTAAGCTTGAGTCCTAGGACCATAGACATTTTGTCTAGTTAAAATATAGGAAGATGTCTATATCTGTCAGTTTATGTTTTCAGTTTCATTTGGGTATATCATAGCAATTTTCAGTGCTTAGAGTACATATCAGTAATTTGGAAGTTAAGTCAATAGTCCCACAAAAGATGCTTGAAACTTAAAAGCAGTAAACTTCCTTATTTAAAATTCTGTTTTTGAAAATTAAACTAGCATGTGTAGAATAAGGTCATTTAATTTAATTTTGTCACTTGATTTTCCCCAAAAGCTAATTCTAATACATAAGTCAGAAAAAAGAGATATTCTCAATCAAAATAGAAAAATAGAAATCATTATTTCCTAAAGGAACTTTGCCTCTTGAGAGTAAACTTTATATATATTTAAGTTTAACTTATACTTAAACTTAAGTGTTTTGTTTTTTTTTTGCAAAGTTTGTTCAACTACCACAGAGCAATTTGTCCAATGCGAAGCCATGATGGAACATCAGGTTCCTACTCAGAGCTAAGCCAAAGACCATGACCAGTGGTTCTAGGCCATGGGCGTGAACTCTTGTGAAAATTGTCCCATATGTTAATTTCTCTCCAGCTTTTATAGGTATGACACAAGTGGGAAAGTTACTGCATTAGTATCTAAATGAAACCCTGAGAGATTGTGCTTTAAAATGCCATTATTTGTTCCTACAGTGTGCCTCTCTCTCAGTATCTATATGGTTTTAAACATTTAGTATGTGTTCAATTTGCTAACCAGCAAGATTTATATCACCCTTCAGATAGTATATCTGTTTACAGAGTCTTGTAGCTCTGTGCAAGGTGTTTGACCTTGCCTCAGTGTGTCTATTCTGATTTCAAACATTTTTTAAACAAGGATCCCTAAGAAATATTTTTTCTTCCCCAGAGTATAATGAAGGCCACTGACATTATTGACAATAAACTGTAGTACCATAAATTGTAGATGAGGAGGGTAGATGGTTAACATGTATAATTTATGATTTACACTAGGAAGTATTTAGAAGAACATGATGGAAACAGAGGATACTAGCTCATCTAATATGAATTTTTGTGTGTCTTTATTCATAAATTTAATGACATACCATGCCAAATTCGTGTGATCTGGGCAAGAATAAAAGAACATTCCATTCTCTGGGTCTAGAATTAAACTGCTCATTTGAATTCTTGGAGAAATATTTATTGAGCAAATAATTATGTTCAAGGATCTGTGCTAGACTCTTACACTGTAGCTGTAATAAAAAGCCGTAATGAAATCGCAAAGCTTACAGACAAGCAGTAAACAAACAAACTCTCAAATATACAATTGTTTATTTTCGGAAGAGGCTAATGACTGAGTGTGTTTCTATAGTGGAGAGTTTCACATCTACCTAATTCTATTAGTCCTAAAGTTTAGACTTGTTTTGATAGCTTTTGGTGTTTTAGGGATCATGTTTTCTTATGTTCTTAAAATATTCACAGACTCATAGGATCGGTTGCAGTTGTCCCAGGGTCTTCCTACCAGTGGACACCATCCTATGAGAATCCTCTTTCTGTTACATCAAGGGAGTCTCAGTATGTTTTTTCCAAATTTATTCATGCTGCACTGTCACTGGGTTTATGTTTATGTCTTAGAAAAGAAAGATTTTGTACATCCTCCTCCATATAATTATTATTAACCTTTTCTCATATGTCTTATTTTCCAACTTTCAGATCTGTGGCTCTTCTTTAAACCTTCAGATAGTTTAAATGCACATCCCCCTTTGTCTCCATGGGATTTGCAGTCTGCAGAGCATTATGGAGTAACATACTCTATTCCAATGTATTTCTAGGACTTTGTCTTCACTGTCATATACTGTTTGCCTTAAGCTGAGCTAGTAAGCACAGCCCTCTTGAATTATCAAAATTGTTTTTCTGGCTTATTTCATATATGCTTCATTCAGTTTTGCTGCCTGGTAACCTTATGGTCAGAGTTTGAGCTTGCTTTTTCAGGATCCAGACCCTTTCTCAGAACCCTTTCTTGTTTTCTCAGAAATCGGCACATTTCTGATTGCCTATTTTTTAAGAGACATGCTCACAAGTAGTAATAATAAATATCTTACAGAGTAAGAGTGCCTTCTTGCACAACTTTGAATCTTTGCAAAAGGGCAGACCAGGTTCATTGTATATTTTATGTGCCTGTTATGTAATTTGCTGCAGTATCTGTAGCTTCATGTATATGAACCCTGGCTTTAGGGTCAGATAGTCCTGGGATTGAATCTGAGCTCTCTGACTCATAGCATTTGTTACCTTGGGCAAACTATTTCACCTCTCTATGCTTGTTCTCATCATTTCTAAAATGAGGATAGTAAAGGCACCTGCTTTACAGGACCATCATGGACACAAAATTAAATCTCATTATGTGAGATGCTGGCACATAATTAAGCTGGACCCAGTTTCTGCCTTCATCCCCTCTTAACTCATTGTCTAACAGCAAATGTCAACCTCTTTTTGCAGTCTGACAATGCAGTACTGTATAGCAGTGAAAAGGAATGTATTCTACGCTGGATTACACTGTATAGCAGTGAAAAGGAATTATTCTACACTGGATTACATGAAAAAAAGCCAGACATAAAAAATATGTCCTATATGATTTCATTTCAAGTTCAGAAACGGGCAGAACTACTGACAGTAACATCATTTGGCAAAAAAAAGAGTAATTCTGTTCCCAGATAGGCAGGCATGGCATATTCATTTACTTTACAAGATGCTGTGCCCAGGTAGAGATACTGTCACAGCCGAGGTCCCTATGCTGTGTCGAGGTCCCTTAATAGCACCCTCTTGTGCCCTTCAATCACCTACTACCTCCCTACCTCCTTCCCCTACCCAGGTAACCACCAACTTAAACATCATAAATTAGTTTTGCCTGTTTTTGAACTTACTAGAAATGAAATCATGCAGTATGTATTCTTTATGTCAAGCTTTTTTTCACTCAACATCAGTGTGTGTAATCCAGCATAGAACTAATGCATTCCTTTTCATTGCTGTACAGTATTGCATTTTCAGACTAAACTACAGTTTATTCATTCTTCTGTTAATGGATATTTGGGTTATTGCCAGATTTTCCCCCCCATTATGAATAATCCTATTTCGAACATTTGTTTACATGTTTTTTTCTTTTTTTTGGTGCATAAATGAAGTGAGTCCATTTCCATTGGGTTTATACCTAGGAGTAGAGTATCTAGGTAATAGTGTATGTATATTTGTCCAGCTATCACATATTGTCAGTAGTTACCAGAATGGTTATACCAATTTAGAGTGGTTGTACCAGTTCATACCCTCACCAGCACTTGCACTCTGTCTACAATTTTGATCATTTTTGTAGATGTATAGTGCTATGTTGCTGTGGCTCTAATTTGCATTTCCCTGATGATTTATGAGATTGATATCTTTTCTTTTGTTTATGGGCTATTTTTTTTTAATCATTTTTTATTGAAATATACTTTATATACAATATTATATTGGTCTCAAATGAACAACCCAGTGATTCATGAGTCATATATATTAAGTGCTCACCATGATAAGTGTAGCCACCATCTGTCACCATACAAATTATTTCAATATTATGAACTATATTCACTATGCTACACTTCCATCCCTGTGACTATATTGTTTTATCATTTGAAGTTTGTACCTCTACATCTCCCCCACCTGCTAAGCCATCCCCCAACCCACACCATGGCCACCAACCATCTCTTCCCTGTGCAGGCTCTACACACAAGCAAACCCATATGGCATTCATACTTCTCTGACCAACCTATTTCACCTCATACAGCACCCTCTAGGTCTATCCATGCTGTCGCAAATATATTGCCCATTTCTTTGGGTTCTGTGCCTTTTTCTTACTGATGGCAGCAGTTTTTTATATATTCTGAATACAAGTCCTTTGTCTGTTACGGAGTTGCACATAACCTTCTCCTAAGCTGTGGCTTAGCTTTCTAATTTCTCACCATTTTTGGCAAACAGAAATTTCTAGTTGTAATGTAGTCAAATTTATTAACCTTTTTTTTAACATTTTTGCTTTTTGCATGAATACATTTTTTTTTACTTTTTTTAAGTGATTATATATCATTGATATACAATCTTATGAAAGTTTCACATGAACAACATTGTGGTTTCAACATTCACCCATATTATCAAATTTCCCCCATGCACCATTGAAGTCACTGTCCATCAGTGTAATAAGATGCCACAGAGTCGCTACTTATCTTCTCTGTGCTACACAGTCTTCCCCATGACACCCCCACACCATGTGTACCAATCATAATAACCCTCAATCCCCTTCTCCCTCCCTCCCCATCTGCCCTCCCCACCCCTCCCCTTTAGTAACTGCTAGTCCCTTCTTGGAGTCTGTGCCTCAGCTGCTGTTTTGTTCCTTCAACTTTGCTTCATTGTTATACTCCACAAATAATAGAAAACATTTGTACTTGTCTTTCTCCGCCTGAATTATTTCACTGAGCATAATACCCTCTAGCTCCATTCATGCTGTTGCACATGGTAGGATTTGTTTTCTTCTTATGGCTGAATAATATTCCATTGTGCATATGTACCACATCTTTATCCATTCATCTACTGATGGACACTTAGGTTACTTCCATTTCTTGGCTATTGTAAATAGTGCTGCGATAAACATGGGGGTGCATATATCTTTTTGAATCTGGGATCCTGCATTCTTAGGGTAAATTCCTAGGAGTGGAATTCCTGGGTCAAATGCTATTTCTATTTTGAGTTTTTTGAGGAGCCTCCGTACTGTTTTCCACAATGGTTGAACTAATTTACATTCCCACCAGCAGTGTAAGGAGGTTCTCCTTTCTCCACATCCTCGCCAGCATTTGTCATTGTCTTTTGGATGGTGGCCATCCTAACTGGTGTGAGGTGGTATTTCCTTGTGGTTTTAATTTGCATTTCTCTGAGGATTAGCGATGTGGAGCATCTTTTTATGTGCCTGTTGGCCATCTGAATTTCTTCTTTGGAGAAGTGTCTATTCAGATCCTCTGCCCATTTTTTAATCCTGTTAATTGCTTTTTGGGTGTTGAGGCATGTGAACTCTATATATTTTGGATGTTAACCCATTATCAGATATGTCACTTATGAATATATTCTCCCATACTGTAGGGTGCCATTTTGTTCTACAGATGGTGTCCTTTGCTGTACAGAAGGTTTTAGTTTGATATAGTCCCATTTGTTCATTTTTGCTTTTGTTTCCATTGCCCGAGGAGATGTGTTCAGGAAAATGTTGCTTGTGTTTATATTCAAGAGTTTTTGCCTATGTTTTCTTCTAAGAGTTTTATGATTTCATGACTTACATTCAGGTCTTTGATCCATTTTGAACTTACTTTTGTATATGGAGTTAGACAATAATCCAGTTTCATTCTCTTACATGTAGCTGCCCAGTTTTGCCAACACCAGTTGTTGAAGAGGCTGTCATTTCCCCATTGTATATCCATGGCTCCTTTATCATATATTAATTGGCCATGTATGTGTGGGTTTATATCTGGGCTCTCTGTTCTGTTCCATTTATATCTGGGCTCTCTGGGTCTGGTCATGTGCCATTACCAAATTGTCTTGATTACTGTGGCTTTGTAGTAGAGCTTGAAGTTGGGGAGCATAATCCCCCTAGCTTTATTATTCCTTCTCAAGATTGCTTTGGCTATCTGGGATCTTTTGTGGTTCCATATGAAGTTTAGAACAATTTGTTCTAGTTTGTTGAAGAATGCTGTTGGTATTTTGATAGGGATTGCATTGAATCTGTAGATTGCTTTAGGCAGGATGGCCACTTTGACAATATTAGTTCTTCCCTTTAGGCAGGATGGCCATTTTGACAATATTAATTCTTCCTATCGATGAGCATGGGATGTATTTCCATTTATTGCTGTCTTTAATTTCTCTACGGAGTGTCTTGTAGTTTTCATTATATAGGTCTTTCACCTCCTTAGTTGTTTATTCCTGTGTATTTTATTCTTTTTGGTGCAATTGTGAATGGAATTGGTATACTAATTTCTCTTTCTGCTAGTTCATCATTAGTATATATGAATGTCACAGATTTCTGTGTATTAACTTTGTATCCTGCAACTTTGCTGAATTCAGTTATTTTAGTAGTGTTCTGGAGGGTCCTTTAGGGCTTTTTATCATGTCATGTACAAACAGTGACAGTTTAACTTCTTCCTTACCAATCTGGATGCCTTTTATTTCTTTGTGTTTTCTGATTGCCATGGCTAAGACCTCCAGTAGTATGTTAAATAAAAGTAGGGAGAGTGGGCATCCTTGTCTTGTTCCCAATCTTAAAGGAAAAGCTTTCAGCTTTTTGCTGTTAAGTATGATGTTGGCTGTGGGTTTGTCATATATGGCCTTTATTATGTTGAAATACTTGCTCTCTACACCCATTTTTTTTTAGAGTTGTTATCATGAATGGATGTTGAATTTTGTCAAATGCTTTTTCAGCATCCATGGAGATGATTGTGTGATTTTTGTCCTTTTTATTGATACAGTGTATGATGTTGATAGATTTTTTAATATTGTACCATCCTTGCATCCCT